GTGATCTTCGAGCACACGAAAATAAAAATTGGTACGAAACTTTATCGCTTGTCCTCTTAGGTATCAGGACAAGCTTAAAGGCAGATTTTCAATGTTGCTCCTCCGAACTTGTATGCGGCACGACATTGCGTCTGCCTGGGGAATTTTTTACACCACGAAGCGGTAATAATTCTGATAATTCGGACTATGTCCAACGACGGTCTGAATATATGCGAATACTGCCTCTGATGTCAACTCGAATACAGAGTCGACAGTTCGCTGTCCCTCGAGAGTTGTCTACCTGTTCACATGTTTTCACACGAGTAGATTCGGTATGCAAACTTTTGCAACATCCTTACGAAGGAACTTTTAACGTGATTACCCGTCGCGAAGAGAACTTCACTGTTGTTCGACATGGCCGCGTCGAGATAGTCAGCACACATCGATGGCTGTGCCTTACCTGATATTTTGAGCCTCAATATTTGACCCGTCAAACCTAATAACGGGATCCCTCCATCTAATTTCTGACCCCAAGCTACATACATCAGGGACCTTATTCTGACGTCTAAGTCAGTAGACCAAGACGCCTTTGACTTCGGATGAGATTACAGGCTTACAAGGTACGTACTAAACCACCTTCTCACGTCCCTGCCACCGAGTACGCCTACCTGTACGCTTTTGCGACTAACCTACGGCACAGGACTTTATCCACATAATACATGCACACTTTATCTTTTTCTTTGATGTTCTTTATCCTGTGGTACGCCATCTCAAGCAATAACTATGGCACGTTACTCCTGGTACTGTTCTCCGTAAAAGACCGGTAACAACTCGAGAATCATCTATCGCTTCCTGTTCGTCAACCCCTGCTTCCTACAGTCCCGAGTTTTGCCGATCAGTCCCATGAACGAAACCACAATGCATTAAAAGTGTAAAGCCTTTCTGGGGAGGGCTGCAGTAGTGATATACTTTTATGAAGAGAACGCGATTGGTGTAATGAAAACATTTATTATTATAGCCAATTGTACCCGTGATTGTTTTACCGTTCCTTTTGGTTCAATTGTTACATAAAAACACATTTTCCTCTACCGGAGACCCTGGAATTACGTACGATTCGATCTCGGTAATATCTTGATGCAACGAGATCGCAGACAAATGTACGTCAGCTCACGATCCTGTCTTCTTCCTTTTCTCAGCATTACGGAAATTTATCTCTTGACAGTCGGCACTGAATCGATCTGTGATGGAAATCATAGTCAATCTCGCCCCAACATAATAAAATATATTAGATATGGAATTTCACTCAGTAAATTAAGAGTCTAGTTACTGAATGTAATACTTCGAATCCGTCTGTGAGAAGCAATTTAACGGAATTAGGGTATCGTACATGACGTGAGTTAATATCAGTTGGAATACTATGGGTACATTTTATTCATTTTTTTCTTGCTAGATTAGCAGTTTTGATACTCATACATTTTTATGCCTCACTCTTGTCCATCCTTATTGAACCGGTCCCAATTTTCACTATGATTGCTACTACTGCTTTTTTAAACGTATTCGACTATCATCTTAGGAAATTCTTCTTTCACTATACTGACATAAAGTGTGACAGTGCAGATTGATGAAAATTCGTATTAGGTTCGATTGTTGTCGATAACTGATTGGCATTATTTCCTTACACTCACTGATCAATATACAGAGACGACGTTTGGGTAATCAATACACAATAAGGACGAGAGAACTGCTAACCTATGCTTGAAGATCGGCCTAACACTAACTTGCTTTAACCGAAAAACACAGATCAATGACCATCAGTCCGAAATTCCTTAGTACATACATACATACATACAAAACAAGGCAAAATCACACTAATAAACGGAAAATAACAACTGCATATGAATGAGCCAAAAGTGTCTGTGAGTGGGGGAGATCGTAAATAAAAAATAACAAAATAGGAATAGCAAACCGTGTGATAATTTATGGGTTATTCAAAAACCAGTGGTGGAAGAAACATAAATACTTGATAATCTAGTAACTCAATAATTATACAAGAAGACTCTACACAGTAATAATCCATAAATCGGTCTTTTAAATCAAGATTATTTTAATCTTCGGCCAGATATAGTAATTGACAAACATTATAAATAAACGCAACGTATCACTATTCAGCTACATGGAACATGAGAATCCCGATTTTTACTGTAATCATTCACATAAATTAGTACCAATCTCTAAAGCAGTAGTCAGCAGTTCAAGTTACATATAAGGCATATACACACTATATGAACTATTGTAGGACAATATGGAGGAAGTAAAATAAGTTAAATGTAGTATATGGCCAATAGGACGTCCAATAATAAAGAATAAAGTACAATCAATGGCTTTCTTGAAAAACACAATAAACTGAAAGTGTACGCATAAGTAAACATTTTGTTCGATATACTTTGAGCTTTCTCTGATTTTATTGTTTTTCTTACCAAAAAACCACCTTAATTATTCTTTAAAACCCAAACTTTAACGTAGAGTAGAGTTTAAACTGCATTCCTAAGGAAAATTATTTAGAAATATGAAGTAATATCTTACCGGTTAAAGCGAACAGTTTCCACTGGTAGCTAGGTTGTATTGATAGATTTTTAAAAGGGTTACAAGCTTTTCTACATCAACTCACTCAACGTTCGTATACGAGAAAGATAATAGAAATATAATTCTTGTACTATAACGACGAAATAATAACGATTACAGTGACATTTTTGATGCTTAGGTATATATTCAAATGCAAAGTGGTGTTTGAAGGCAGTTTACAAGCAACCCTGAATGTTGTGCTATTCGGCCTAAACCTGTAAACTTGAGGAAACTGATTAGTAAATTGCAAATATATTCATGTGCATAATGAATTAAAATTCAATGGACTGATTAAACATACATAATTTTGGGCATAAATTAATATTAGTCGAGAAACCAATGAAAAACAAGAAGCACTAGGCATGTGTTCCGACATCTTATTGACTTATGTATATTAACTCTCTTAGAGAATAGGTCACTGACAATCACTCTTCAACCAACCATGTCCCATGATCATCTTTCCAGTTGTTCCCAATCGCTATTCATCATTTTCATATGTGCCTTCAATTTTCAGCGTACTGTGTTCGTCGGTCTTGCACTTTTCCCTTGACCCTGAGGATTCCAAGTTAGGGCTTGCCTTGTGACGCAGTTGGGTGCTCTCCTCAATCTGTGTCCTATCCACCTCCAGTTCTTATTCCTGATTTCTTCTTCAGCTAGAATCTGCTTTATTCTCTTCCACAGTAGGTTGTTGCTGGTGGTGTCTGTCCAACGGATCAGGAGTATCTTGCGTAGACAACTTTCAACAAACACCTGTATCTTGTGAATGGTGGCTTTCGTTGTTCTCCAAGTCTCCACTCATCATCATCTTCATCAACAGCAACGTAGAACTTTGCACGTAACTACAGCAGTTCAAGTTACCATACCACATCAAAACAGAGATATAATTGTCAATTCAAATCCCATAATAGTAGAGGTAGTAAAGGTATTAGAAGTAATCGGAGAGGTTAGGATTAGAAGATATTATTCAAGGAATATAATTCAATGAGGTAAATTTAGAAAGAGAAAGATAGAGGTGATGAAGAATTCAGAAGGTGAGAATTAGAGAGAACACAAAGCGTAAATGCACCTGCGCCATTGTGGACGGTTTTGAGCCATGTCACTCAGGGTCTCTAACCATCGATTATTATCATCTCGCGGACCCCAACTAGGTAGCCTACATCGACCAACATTGCTAAGTCCACTCGTCAATGACTTCATGGATTTCTGCCATGTTTTGATCTGGCCGACCCTAGCTTCCGTCCAACCTACTCCTACACCACAAAACATAGCTCGACGAGGCAGTCAGTGGTTAGGCATACGCTACATATATCCCAACCACCTCAACTGATGAGGTTTCAATACTTCTTCTATTGATCTGCCATTCTTACCTAGCTCCCGTTTCCTAATAACAGCGTTGCTTACTCGGGTGTCCCAGGATACTCGAGCAATGCTTCGGAGACGCCTATGATTGAAAACAAGCAACCTACGAATGTCTACTCTGACTGACCATGTTTCACAGCCATAAAATAGGACGGAGCGAACTACTGCGTAGTACACTCGTCCTTTAGTTTGCGATCGGATATCTCGCCTTCTCCATAAGCGAAGGTCTCCGCTCTGTACAAATAGAACTGTCTTGACGTTCGTATTGAAAATTCTGACATTGGTTTTGGTTGATAGTTGTTTGGAGTTGCAGATGTTCTCTAATTGTAGAAATGCTACCATTGCTTTGCTAATCTATATCTTCACATTGCCTACCAAGGGCACTACTCAGATATGTAGGAGTTTCCATATCTTCGAAAGCTTTGCAATCAAGAATGATTTGGTTGTTATGAATCAGTTTAACTCTAGGATAAACTGAAAGGTTTTATTGACGAAGGTTTTGTGATTCTGGAATGAGGCTTGAACTCTCCTCCATGCATTTCTGTGCGATTTTCTTTAATATTCATTTCATATTATTTTTCATTATTTTTTCAAGCACACTGTAGTGAGGAAAAATAGATGTTATCGTCTTCCTCATCGTTTTTTTAAGTGCTTTTCTAGACGATGAATCTGATCTTAAACGGTAATTCCCATTTACACAATTTTCTGCTATAGACTTTCTTCTCTATTAAATAAATACCTTGTCTATATTTGTCTTATTTCTCATTTTTTCTACTTATTGGCAGCACTTCCCACAATCATTCATCTATAAGTTGCATCTAAGTGATGTTTGGCCAGGTGACGTGACATCCACTGGTATACGGAAACCCTACCTCTCTGTGACATACACACTCTCTGAAACCACGAGACATCCATTTGTAAAGAACTGTTAACTGACCAGAATTGATTCGTTTGAGAAGCTAATTTCCATCAGTTGTAAATCATCGAAGCTGTAGTGAAACAACAAAAGAACTTTACCGATTTTTGTAAGCATTGGATATTGGACAGCCCAATTTTCAAATAATGACCTAAACCTTGATTACCAGTGTTTTCACTGACTAAATCCTTGGATTATAGAAAAGGTGTGTCAGAGTGTGGTAGTTGTAGCCTACAATCTCACTATTTTATTTTGCGTAGCTAAAATTTTTAGAACTCATTATTTCATTCCCGTCATCATTGAGCAAACGTGTCATAGACACGGTTTGCCACTGAACTGAGACTGGCATATAATATAAATGAATTGTTAACTACAGCACACTTTTTCATCATCAGGCTTTCAGATTGTCTTCACACCGTCCAAATCTCAATCCCCAAACGCTAGATGTGCACAATATATGGCCGTATGTTTGCGTTCCTTCAGTACCTATTATTTACGCATCTAGTTGCATTGTTGATTTTATTCTAAAGAAGCAGTTGAGTCGTTAGTATCTTTGGCTTTCACCAACTTGGTTTCAGTCTGAAAACCCTGCCACGGGTTTGTGATGTAACTTATCTCATTAAGTCCAAGTGGGTCTATTAGGCCACATTAAAAGTTAATCATACGTTTGAGTTATATTAGACTGCCTTCATTCATTCCGAAATTTACATGTATATAAAATTATCGTATGCTAGTCCTGCTCGACAAATCATTCACATTTGAATTTTGTAAAATTTAACTATCCGCTTGATTAGATTATATTTTTACTTCATAGCTAATGTCATTTCGTGATGGAACCCGCAGCTCTAATTTCCCACTCTTACATCTGCCCCTAAATCTTATCCCTAGTTCTTTCAATCCTAGTAAGTAGGTTAGTATTGTGAAGGTCACTTTGTCATAGCCTAAAATTCGTCCATAAATCATAGCCACAATTTATTTTCCATCACACTTCTGTATCCACCAAGTGCATTATCCCATTCGAGTTCTTTGCTTACTCATTGTGCTTCGTTAAAAAATCAGGTGGTTTATTCTGTCCATTCGTCATATTACTTACGGTAACGAGCATGCTAATTAAATACAAAGCATAATAAAGTATTCGTCTGTTTGGATCATGAGGTTACTGTTAACTCGTATATGTACAAATGCAAACAGTTCCAGAAAGGTTTGTTGAAAGCCATCATATGAAGTTGGTATAGTTTGTATTACCATTAAAACGCCAAAACCATAGATACAGGCTGTAGACAAAATATCTGTTTAAAAATATGAAGTTCCATAAACACCAGAAAAAGTTCTATGATTGCTCTATACGCCTTCCTATCCATTATTTCACAAAATAAATGGACGTCATCTAGTTTGATAATGCTAAGTCTATCTTGATATGCATATCAGGAAATAGACTTGTCGGCACAGAATATGCCGATGACGTAGTTCTATTCGGTGAGGACTGACTAATTACACTCATCTGACCACCTTAAGAGACAATGCAATCATGTTTCAGATGCGACTAACCCTCTCAAAATGCAAAATTTTACTTCAGGATTGGCCAGCAACGGCACCTAAACTAGTGATAGGGAGTGAAGTGGTTGAGCGTGTTGACTGCTTGACTTATCTGGGGAGTCTCATCAGCGCTGATAGCCTGGTGACTGACGAAATCTCAACGCGGATACAGAAAGCTCAATTAACTTTTGCTAACCTGCGTCACTTATGGCGTAGGCAAGACATCCGTTTGCTAACCAAAGGACGAGTGTATCATGCAGCACTTCGCTTCGTCCTACTTTATGGCTGTGAAACATGGTCAGTCAGAGTAGACATTCGTAGGTTGCTTGTTTTCAATCATAGGCGTCTCCGAAGCATTGCTCAAGTGTCATGCGACACCCGAGTAAGCAACGCTGTTGTTAGGAAATGGGTGCTAGGTAAGAAAGGCAGATCAATAGATGAAGTGCTGAAACTTGATCAGTTGAGGTGGTTGGGACATGTGTTGCGTACGCTTAACCACTGACTGCCTCGTCGAGCTATGTTTCGCGATATAGGAATGGCTTGGACGAAAGCTAGGGTCGGCCAGATCAAAACATGGTACAAATCCATGAAGTCACTGACAAGTGAACTGAGTCATGTTGGTCGATGTAGGCTACCTAGTTGCGGTCCGCGAGATGATAATCGATGGTTAGAGACCCTGAATGACATTGCTCAGAATCGTTTGCAATGGCGCAGGTGCATCCGCTTTTTGTGTTCTTTCTAATTCTCACCTTCTGAATTCCTCATAATCTCTATCTTTCTCCTTCTAAATTTATCTCGCTGAATTATACTTTTCGAATCATATCTTCGCTCCCTAATCTTCATTACTGCTAATGCTTCTATCGCTACCGCTATTGGATTTGAACTGACATTTGCGTCTCTGTGCTGATGTGGTATGGCAACCTGAATTGATGTACTTACGTACGAAGTTCTACCTTGTTACTGAATGACTGACAACGCTTAAGTTGTAACTTATCACTACGCTACTAGTATTTTCAACTATTAGTTTACATATATGTTGGTGCACATTTCAGATTTGAATAATTACATTCATGGTTTCCTCATACCAATAACATTCCTGTTGTTTTGTTTATTTTACCTCTCTGTTACCATGTATAAAAAGAAATTCATTATTATTACAACTAACAGACCTGCTATTGCTTCTCGTTCTGGAAGAGTTCGTATATGTAACTGTTCGATACGGAAAATGAAGTTGCAATTTAAAGAACTCTTTCCTAATCCAATCTTCGTTGGTTTTATGTCCGAAACAGAGTACTCCATTAGTTTTGAATTTTGCCAGTGAACTCTATTAATTTCTTAGATCAGATGATTCGGACTCGATTATGTTGATGCTAATATTTTCGTTGTTTTTCAATAAATCTCAAGTCTTAATATTCATGCTTTTCATTCACCGATTTCATTCATTGTTTTCAACCAGCACTTAATTTTTACTACCGTCAATGTTATATTATTTATATATTTTTTGGTCCTTCATATTATTGGTTTTCCATCACTACGCTATTTCACTATAGCAACTTTAAACAATATTAGGTTGTAAGCTGTTTAGAACTGTGTCAAAGTACATAAGTTTTCTTTCTCCAGCTCTCATGTGACCGATTTGCTAAGTATAGGCTTATATACCTAACTTTAAGTCACATTGGTTGTATAACTAACCATTACACAAATTGCTCGGACCGTAGTGGATAAAGGAGAGCTGGCATACTGGCTGAAAGATGTCTATTCTAATTAACGAGTCACTATTTTACTTAACGACTCACAGATGTAGAGATCGGTTCAACATAACATTGGTTTTCATCTAAAAGATCGCTATACACATTATTTTTGTTGATTGTAATTGTTCGAATTTAAACTATTTAAATTCGTTTTATTTCAAGGTATGCTCCCACCGAATGAGTCACTGAAACTGACGGATGAGGATGTAGCAACAATAAGGAAATGTAGACAAATGTCATTTTGGAGAGGTAGTGTCCCATTCACCATTGGTGCTGTTATAGCTGTTACTGCTGCTGATAAATATGGATGGTTTTTAAAGCGTAAGATGCTTCGATTGCCAGCTTACATCCTTGGAGTTACGGTTGGTTATTTTGCTGGGAAAATTAGTTATATGGGAGAATGTAAACGTATGTTTCTTCAGCTCAACAACAGTCGCATCAAAGATCAAATCCTTAGACTGGATACTCCCGGAACAATTCAACCTACTCCTGACTCACCTGTAATTGTAAATACACCTGTCGAGAAACATCCACGTATGAATTATGCACAACGCAGAGAGTATTATAATCGACAACCAGAACAATTTACATCTCCACACCCCAGTTCCAAACCACCAATGACACTTAAAGGAGAAGATACAATATCTGACAAAACAAACTCAAATTCATCTTACTTCGATAAAGATAAACCACTTAGTTCATTTTATTATGATAATGATGACTATCGACCTCGTGACGAATAAGTTAGTAATATAAAGAGAGATATTTATTTTGTGGTAAATATTGTTTAGTGAATAGCAATATATTTAGTTGTTTTTATCTAACTCCTTCTAGATTTTATTTCTCATTTAAAGATGTCGTATTAGATAATAGCATATATACGGATAGTAATTCGTTTGTTTGTTCGTTCATTTAATTACCTCTGTTTAGCGCAGATCTCATAGCTGATTTTAAATACACGGAGTTTATTTGTTTCTAGGAAAAAATTAAAGGATCCGTACAAGTTTTTGCTTTCAGAATGTAACACTACTACTGGATCTTATTTGTCAAGCTTTTGTTTGAGCATAAATACTAAGCCTTTTGAAGCTGTATCCCGATATTTTAATTACATTGATCAACGGATTGTTGTTGTAATTTATCAAAATGTGTAGTCAGCTCATGAATATACTAACTGTTAAGCTAACCCGTGTAAATCGGTGTAGACTACCTTGTTGGGTTCTGCATGTTTATCATAATTCTTAGAAACTTTGAATGACGGCTCAAAATCGTATTACTAGCCATTAGTGGTAACCCCACTTCCTCAGGATTTGCTGTGTCAGTCCTAATCTCGCTATGTTAATTGGCTGTGGCAACTAAAATTGATGTATACATGTGTCAGGTTCTGCGTTACTTTTGACTGATTGAATAACTCACAACTCAGACAGGGCTTTATGAAATAATTACTTAGTGTTGAAGGGTATCTGAAGTCTTTCCTGTTTTTTGTGTGCTCCATAAACAACGTCCATTGTTGTTCTCTCAGGCATCCCCACTTACTTATCAAGCAGCAATTGCTTCGAAGATAATACAAAAGCATTTTGCTGATGCACAAATTACAGATAGTTTAGATGTGTATACGAGAAATAGTCTTTTTCTAATAGTGGAACGTATACACAATCTCCATAAATATATTAAACGGTCGTCATTAAGCGAATGGCTTCAAACTTTGGTAATATTTATAAGAGCCTGAATTATTGGTCTATGTTTGACTGTGATTAGTTAAAAAAGTATTTGAATATAGTTAAATAACATTTGGCTATGGGTGTAAATCTAATACTGTTTCCTTAAGTTTTAGTTAGTATCAGTCTTAGATTGTATTGTTGAACATAACCTTTCTGAAGATGTTACTATGAGATACCAGGTTCACAGATATTTCTCTTTACATTTTCGAACTGACATAAAGTGTGAAGTCATATTTAGTCTATATAATAAGACAGTGAAACGTAGTACGTCTAAAAATGTAAAAGTGATGTGAAAAAACAGAAATTGGAACTGTCACTACAGACTGCCTTTTCATGTTTCACATTGAAAACTTTAATTCCAAGATACTGGTATTCTTTCTTTCTGCCTAATTAGCACAGTGCGTTGTTTACAACTTATAAGGTTTATAGTCTTTTGAACAGGTGATAATTATGGAAATCTCGCGACATTTGTACTTATCAATCAACAAAACCGATTGGGCGAACCGAAGTTTTAGTCGGTATTACAACATGATCAACTTAATAAGTTAGATTATTTTGCTTCAGAAAGATATTATGCTTTTGTTTACAACTTGACATTGTTTTTTACATCAAAATCATGAATGAATCATTGTTAGGTCGTGCATGCTCACTGCTGATGAGTCTCATACCAGGACGAAACAGCTGTCCAGTGCTTCCAGGTTTCCAATGGTGGTTTAACAATGATTCATTCACTATATCAATGTAAAAAATATATGTCCATAATATATGATGCAAAATGAAAAAATGTGCTCATTAGTGACTAGCTTCGTGAGGATTTTATCGAAGTTCTAGTGGGAAGCCGTGATTAGTGGAGCTCAACCGTGTCAAGTGTGAGTTAGTTAGTGGGTTGACTGGAATCAGACACAGTGAGATATCGTTTCTGGAGCTGACGTTATCCAATTAGATTTTATATTGAACTGCTGTTAAAAGTGCTGAGTTGGAATTCAACGGCTAATGTTCCCCATTGCTAGTAATGTGACAACAAATCATCTAGACTAGTTGATCTTCATTCTTAGCTTTACCATTAATTGGAAATTCTTGCTAAAGTATACTGTCCATCAAAGGTGGATTCCCTATGATTTACATGGAATCATTAGTATGAATCTGATTGAGTTTTGGTAGATATGCATGGTATTGCAGTTTTTGGGCGTGTCGTTCTCCGGGGTACTTACTCATCAACAGAAATATTTAATGAATTAGAAAGTTTCGGACATCGTTATATTGTCCAGTCAACGAGTATACGAGGTTGACCCATTTAATTAATCAATCGTTTTGTTAGTTGAAACTTTAATGCACACAGAAATCTCATATGGTTTATAAATTGGTCTCAATTGATTATTGACTTCTGTCATTAGAGCAAGAAAAAATGTCTCGGTACAGGAATTCATCTATCTGAGTGTAGATTGGTGTATCTTTTATTCTGTTATGAAGCTTTAAGTAGTTGTACAAAGGATCTCATGTTGTTTTTATGCTTGTCCATGTATGCGTTGGTTAATAGGCTGATGAAATAACACTATATGACAGCAGTCCAAACAGGGCATATATCTATATTCTAATTTGTTTAAGTGCAAGAATACCTAATACTCATTAAATCACGTATAATATGATTCGGTCGCCTGATTATTTTTTAAAAAAAAGTAGCAAAAAAAAAACTCAGGATTTGTGGATCCACATTTCAGAATACATTTTCTATTCGAATGAATATTCACTCTAAGTCATATTTACTTAACCTTGGCACATTTGATTCTCATTATGATTAACCCTTTTTGGAAATTCCATAAATGTGACTTTTACAAAGTTATTCCGCTTAGCAAATTCAAATTTCCTATTGTAATCGTTATTAACTCATTTAAAATAAGATGGTAATTTTCGTACAGAAAATATACTTTAGGCATAGACCAAATCTTTTTGTCCTAAGTCAATCAGATTAGCAATTATTTGTTTTATATCACAGCATTTCGTTAGTGTTATAAGAATCGAGCACAATATAATTAACATAGATATATGATTTAGCATAAACAGTCGCATATAGTTTCAGTTGTTTTTTGTTTTCTAAAATGTATACTGGCACGACTTATATTATTGAGGATGAGAATGAGAAATTCACAGCTAGGCAGTTCATTTCAACATCATCTAAAATGAGGTAAATAGACCATTACACTTCAATTGGTATTATCTATAAGAAAAAAAGTCAGATCAAAATGTTGAAAATAGTTGTACTGCTTTATCCAGAATAACAGAAGTCGAGTCTCTAATTAACTGATTTTTATTAACCGAGTGGTTTATCTAATAAAACTAATAATGATTTTTTGTAACTACAACCGATTTTCCCAAAGTGTTCATTTTATGATTGATTGATTGATTATTATTATTATTATTTATTGTTATTACTGCCCATTTGTGATCGACCAGTTTCGTACTGTGCAGATAAATTTCATGTATATTAATGATGAAAAGAAAAAAATTTAAGTGACAAAAGAAATTCAATTCCATTTGAAGTGTCAAAATAAATTATCGAATACAGGTCTTATACTTCTTACTTACTTAATTACTTACGCTTGTTACCCCCGATGGAGCATGGGCCGCCCACCAGTTTTCTCCAACTAACTCTGTCCTCGGCTTCCCTTTCTAGTTCTGTCCAATTTTTGTTCATTCTTCTCATATCTTTCTCTATTTCTCGGCGTAATGTGTTCCTTGGCTTTCCTCTTTTCCTTTGGCCTTGAGGGTTCTATGTGAGCGCTTGTCTTATGACGCAGTTGGGTGCTTTTCGTAGTGTATGCCCCATCCACTTCCACCGCTTCCTCCACTGGAACCTGGTTTGTTTTCTCCCACATTACGTTGTTGCTGATCATGTCTGGCCAACGAATCCGAAGTATTGTGCGTAGATAACTGCTCATAAATACTTGTATCTTGTGGATGATGGCTTTGGTAGTTCTCCAAGTTTCTGCTCCATACAGTAGAACTATCTTGACATACTTCTTAATAATAGTAAATTTAAGTGATATTAAGGAGTGACTTTCGCTAGAGTGTAATTGAAAGTCATGAAATCCGAACAGCCATTTAATGCTAGTATAGAGCTTTTCAACAATACTCGGTATTAACCTCTCTAGGAATCTAACCCAGAATCCTCAGGTCCTCCAACCAAGTTGAAACAGTAACTCAATGATGATATCAATCGAATATCACTGTAACACGAATTAAATGAAGTCGAAATATATGAATCATGGTATTTCTGGTTAATGAATCAAGTGGTATCGTGCTCAACTCAACATTTTAGGATTTTAGATTTGACGTCATATAAATCCGTGCGTGTTTGTACTGATTTGAGGAGTTTTAGACTAGGGAAAAACATCTGTTTGGTACTTTTTTTTACTGCTAGCAGTTCTGTGTATTGGATGTTTCATAAATAGTGCATAATGATTCCACATTGAATATGAATTTACAGTAAGTCGTCTAACATTTTTAGTTCAAACTTAATGTATATATAAGTCATGCTTTTTGTCGAATATATATTTATATGTATATATCTAGAAATCTAATAATCTGAAAAGAAGTTATTATGAGTATATTTTCAAACTATCCACACAACTAGTACTCACATAATTATTACAAAACTAGTTATAACAAAATTTAAATTAGAGGTTTGTTTTATTATATCATCATTATAACCAATGATTATATTTTACAACATGTGATTATTCAACACTAATTAATATTGTGTTTTATACTACTACTACTAATAATAATAGTAGTATTAATTGATGATTAACAGTCGATTTAAACAATATGATTATTCATTTAACTAGTTGTAGTTGACGTGAAAGAAATTCTAACAACATTTAAACATTTCCTCTAATTTTAATTTAACATTAAACGCTGTTATATTGTGTATATACAACTTATAACAATCGGATTTTACTGTTCTAACATTTGTAATAAAATCCTTGCCTATCAATAAAGAACAATCTGTACTGATTAAGTGAAACATCAAAATGTTATCAGTATTATTACTTAAATATAACCATTTAATTTGTTTATTCAATTCATTTCATCTGAACTTTTATCTTTTTACCTATTCTAGTTTTGTTTTCTGTTTTTTACTACAGTTGAAATATTTATTTTTAAAAAATATCTTCAATATACATTCCGAACAATCTGGTCACACATATTTACTTGTCAAGGCATTTTTATATGAAGATGAATAAAAGGTTAATTAAATAAAAGTTCAAATAGACATAGGGTGATAATTGTAAATAAAGGAGAGAGAAAATTAACGTAATATGAAAAGAATAAGAAGGGGTAGGAAAATTGTCACATTACCCTAGGCTTAAAGATTACCAAGGTAAATTCAAGGTTATCACAAACTGTTTCTGCACACATAAGGGGAGTTTTAATTTTCTAATAGCCAAGGCCTCCATAAATCTCAAAATTCGTCCTTCAACATTTCTATACAATGTTTTGAAGGCTGTCTTGATGTCAATCTTATGCCCTATCTTAATTGTGTTTGGCGATCGATGAACATGGTTTTCTATTTCCAACACTAATCGGCTCATCTGACGTTAACTGACTTTGAAGCCACTTAGGTACATGTTCCACAACCCTTGATTGCAAAGTCCGATTACTCCTCCCTATGTATGTGTGTCCACAAAAACATGTAAATTGATAGATACAATGGGATGTGATGTAATCATTAGAGCAACGTTTAGGTATATGCGAAATCATGGACTTGGTCTTTTCAATGATAATCAGTTTAGCAGCGTTGTATGTTTTCTCTATGGCTGCTTTCAGTCTCTGTCTTATTATTAGACCATTTGCTTCACCTCTAAATGGTAAAGTGATATAAACCTTTTTCTTCTCAGCAGAATCAAAAACTTGCTTTTGTCTTATCTGATTTCTACATCTATTGATGAACTTTAGCGGATAGCCATTTGAAATCAATACTTCAGTTAAGAATTTTGCATCTTCTTCAAATGTATCCGTGGTGCAAATCCTTTGTGCCCTATTGAAGAGGCATTTTACCAAACCTCGCTTATAATGCAGTGGACAAAAACTGCTGAAATTTAGGTACTGTCCAGTCCACGTCGGCTTTCTATAAACAGATCGCTTTATAGTTCCATTATCTCTTCGGCTCAACAATATGTCTAAAAAAGGCAATCGATTATTATTTTCTGGTTCATGAGTTAGTACAATGTCATTCTGAAGACTATTGAAGTTTTCCAGTAACTGAGAGACGTTAAGTTCTTTATCACATATAATTAAAATATCATCCATATATCTCCTATAGAGAGTAAGCTTATTAATGTGCTCATTATGGGATTTGAATTGACAATTATGTCTCTGTGCTAATGTGGTATTGCAACTTGAATTGATGTACTCACGTACGAAGTTCTACGTTGCAACTGACTGAGTGAATGATCTTTAAACGTGATAGTGTCCAATCATTTGCGGCATCTGTCTAGGTTTATTTTCTATTAATATTTTTTTATTGTAAGCATGTTATTTTAATTAACAGAAAAATCTCCTCTGTTGGATGGCTGTTTTGTCTTCTGATACCAGTTCATTTCGAAGCTTAAGTCAATTATTATGAATCTGGAACTAGTATCATTCAATCACATTATAACGGTACATACCATCACGCATCGATCAATACATTATATACTCATTTTTCACAATCCGAAAGCCGCTTGATAGTCAACTCCTAATCTTTAATAGATAGGTCTGTGCTAAATAACATAATGCACTTCGAGCAGCAAAGTGTTGATTTGAAAATTTGAAAGTTTCTCAGTTATTAATTATTTTTTTCAACTAACAAGATTCTAATCTGATTGAGTGCTGTAACGTCATGATACGAAGTATGACTGAGTCGTGAGTGTTCACGAGATTAAATTACTGATGTAAGCCCCTAAACGACAAGTCAGCTAGCCAAAAGATTAGGTATTCCATGTGATGAAATAATCTGTTCATAATACAAGATATGAACACTAAGTAAACATGGTCAAATGTCAGAATTGAACAAGAATATGACAGCTCATTAATTAGTTAACCTAGTGCAGAAATTAAGCTTTGACACGAAACTTGTGTTGAGTGGACACTTACGATTCAACATTTTCTCGATTAGATTTGATTTTGTGTTAAATATTTTGCACTTAAATTGTATCGTCGTGATAAAAAGATAGCGCATTTTATTTTATTGATCAAACTCCATCTGAAGCCGTTTTAGGATAACTGCCGATAGCAAACCTAGATAAAGGAGTGTTGAGCATGGGATCTTATTAGAGTGCTGGCTACTATTACAAACGATAGAGGAGTTCAGTTCAAATGTCACTTCTTCCAACAACTCACAGAACTCCTCGGAATCGAACGCATTCTCACAACATGCTACCATCCGATGGCGAATGGTATGGTACAGAGATTACACCGACTACTTATTCTCCCTCACGGCTGTTATTGGCAACAATGATTGGGCCAGCAAGCTTCCACTAGTCATTTTGAGTTTAAGATCGACATTTGAACAATATATAGTATGTTTTTCAGCAGCGTTGGTTCATGGAACTACTTTGCATCTACCAGGAGACTTTTCTATCTCAGGTAAAAGTGTTCCAACTAATATAGCCAACTATGTACAACGTCTAAAACAGTACATGAGTGATCTAAGAATAATGCTTCCGAGGCAACATCACCGTCGGATATACATACCAAAGCAACTAAGCAACATTACTTATGTGTTTAACAAAGAGGATAATGTGCAACGTCCCCTACAACCGGCCTACGATGGTCCATTTATAGTTATTAAAAGAAACGATAAAACTATTATGGTAAATAAAGCTGGAAAAGTGAGTGTAATTAGCATCGACTGAGTCAAACCAGCTTTTATCGAAGTTGATGATCAGCCAGTAGGCACAGATCCTTTGAAAATCATCGAATCACCGAAACGCGAGTTCCAATCATCAGTGACTGCAACGAAGAAAAACAGTCCAGCAACAACTAGATATGGTCGAAGAGTCAGATTGGCCGCAACAATATGTAGTTACGACTTTGAATTAAGAATTTCTTTCGAAGTTTCGAATATAAAATTTCTTCTTTTCGTATATACTCATCGAAAAATTTATCTCAATGATGGTTATATTTGACATATTTTGAATATTCCGATGTCAAGGTGTATAAACTTCTAAAAGCATTACCGTATTCCTTTGATCTTAGATTATTATTTTATCTGGCCTCACAGGCATAAACGAATTCAAGTTTACACGAACATGTAATAACTTACATGATAGTTCTATCTTATTTCCTAATTTCTTAAAATTCGATATTTTCCGTTACGTCAAATTTAACACTTCGCAGTGGATAGCTATCAAAACAACTCCACATACATTTGAGTTTGTTTACATTCAATTTGGTTAAGCCCTTCTACTTATTTAACAGACAGTCATTTAAACAGCAACAACTCTTTAAAGCCTACTCACATATTCTGCTAGCTTTAATATTACTCGCTTAAATGATTTGGTGACTCATTCATTTTCCAATAAATATGTACATTTGAATCCTATTCATTCGTTCGTCGGCATTCGCATATAATTTCAGTTTCGTTTCATATACCTGGTGTTTTGTGATCTGTGTGATGCGATAATAAACCTATTCAACGCTTTGTATTCGTCTTCTGAATTGTATACACCATTGGGCGTTATCTAGTAACGGTTATCAGGACGACCAGTATACAACGTTTAGGAATTATATCAAATATCCTCCTCCACAGCTGCCAATGCTGATTTAGTGGTCACTGGCGTAAATAATTAAGTTAGTATTTTATTGATCGATTTTTCTTCCTAACATCCTTTCGGGTTAGAGTAAGCGATAGTTCGGAACTCTTTTGAAGGCAATTAAATCCTAGTCCTTGCTAACAAGAGATATAAAAGTTCTAGGATATTCTAAAAATACTTGAATAAAGTAGTTTTTGATAAGTGAAACATGATTTGTAACATAAAATTGGCTTCTTCAAATGTTTGGTATAGAAATCATTGAATATTGTCAGGTAATTAGACTGCAGTCTCTCGTTGAGAAACTTTTTTTATTCTGGACATCCAAATTCTGATATTATGCAGTTTGAAGACACCTTATACTTTATCAAATGTACTCAACAAGGAACTTCAAAAGTTACCCTAGAAGATAGGACGTTGTAACTTATATTGTTCAATTTTAAGCCTATAGTGACAGTGATTTTTTTTCAAACACTGTTTTCTCCGTCAATTAGAAAGCGTATGGAAATAAATTTGCGATAATTATACTTACATGTACAATGTATTGAAATGTTTATAAAAATATCTGTCCGTTCAAGTTATCTTTAGTTTTGATTATAAATCGTGATGCTTAATTATGCAATTGTTTTTCAAATATTCAGAGATTAGAGTTGATAATATCGTCATTAATCATATTCAAAATTAAGTGTTCTATTTCTGTGCGTTAGTTCTTATCGATTTTATGCAAAGTTTTCTTATTTCAAAAATAGCCGTCATTTAACATTTCGATTAAACTCTTGTAATTTAACTGTCATTCACTTGATCCATTGTTTATCAACCAATAACTGACTGTATTCTGTGTGACAAATATTCAATAGATTAGTTGGATAAATTGACAGTGATGTACTGAATATTAATCTAACCCAAAAATATTACTACACAAGTATCATTAGTGTATAGGTTTGACTGCAAGAGCAGAACTGGGAAGTTACTCGGATCAACTCTAATCAATTAGAATATAGCTCAAGGAATACAAACGAATGCTTTAGATCATTTGAGTTTACCACATTGTTTATGTGAAAAGTTTAGAGCGTTAAGTTAGTGATTTATTAACAATTGGCTTAATGACCTTAAACAATTCTCAGAGGATGAAATTATTATTATACAGTATCATTAAAATATTTTTGAAAGTTTTTTATTGAAACAGTTGACTACTGAATTCATTTCAATAGCCTGAAAATTACAACAATTATTTTAGATTTGACACCAAAATTTCTGAATGATTCGTTAATTAGAAAAAAAAATCCCATGTCTCTTTATTTTCGGTCACAGCTATTAATGTAATCATCTTAACGTCCAATTCGTACAAATCCACGTTTACCGATTCGAACAAATCCTCGCTTTCCTAAACGTACAAAAGCTTTCTTTGTAGGAACTAAGTAATCAGCTAATTGTTGTAATCGAACTGGTTCATTTGTATAATCTGATTCTGGCATTAATTCATTTTGTTCATCATCGTAAGACTCCATATTTGATTGTGTCTTCAATCTTCTTTCATGATCACATATCACTATTGGTAAGCCATCATTGTTTACAATGGTAGAACAACGATTGAATCCATGTGCACAGATGTAAAGTAAACAGAAGATTTGATAGGAAGTGAATAATTGAATAATTCGAAGAAACGAGTACTTTTTCATCTAAACAAAATGAGGAAATAAATAATATGATTGAATAATATTGTCATGTTTTGTTGCAGAAATTGTAATAAGAAACTACAAAAATATACTGTCTATAAATTAATATAGGGATACTACCCCTAACTCAGGTCTCATATGGTCGAAAAATGAAGATTTCGGAAACGCGAAAAAATCAACGCCCGACATGAGACAAAGGGTAATTGGAGTGTTTTGGCCTATTTGCATCAAGCTGTGATGCCTCTTCTACTATACTACGACATATATGTGTACATCATATGCTATACTGCTATATAGAGCTGAAGGTCTTCTATGAGACTAAAGGTTCGCTGTGAATATTCTGGATGGCTTTGCTTTGCTTTGGTAAGCATTGTTAACAGTCCATATACAAAATCGGTCAGCAGGGGGACCAATTTCATTGATATAGGTGGTTGTTTCGCAACATTCCCTAGGGCCATTGTCATCGGGGTGCTGTATTACATATCACCATTGCTAATAATAATGAGTTTGACAGTCATGTAAGCGGAATGGGTCGAAATGGCCTGTTCATGCGATGCATATTGATTGACGCGATCATTAATCGGAAATATATATACCATTTTGTGTATATGAAATGGTGTGAATGTTCCACCAGGGTATCAGGTACCTGTGTGGTTGCACCACAGGATTGAGTCGAACTGTTAATGTAGAAATGGTAAAACGTGTGCAGTCTCTTTAGTTCTCCTGAAAACCAATGTAAAATTGCCCTTGGCAATACAGGGTAGATTTATATAATATAAAAAAATTAAATTAATATATGAATTCAGTTTTTAATATACAATACATACAAGATAAGCACTTTTCTAGTTTTGATATAACTTTGAAAATTCATAAAAAGAACCATTTTACTCAGTGACTTCATTCATCACGTGAACAATTCTCAATATTTCATGAATTTTCTGGAAACATTTCATAGAGCTTAGTGTTCAAATCTCCATAAAGTGAATTTTTTTTTCAACTTAGACGATTGGTGTATAAAATATGTCAAACAAATTTTTTTTCTACCTATAAATTAAATTTTGTCCAGTTTAAATCGCTTTAGTAGATCAGATTAAAACATCTACGAGCTAATTGTAATTTTAAATATCCCATTGAGTATGAAAACAAGTTGAGATATTTTAATAAACATTTCTTTTGAATCAAGATAGTAGTATTATGATTCACTATACTTATGATAAAATAATGTTTGTACAATACTTTGTGTGAAATGAGTTTTATTTATGAGGTTGTAATTTAGTCACTGGCTTATTAATTTGTTGAATGTGAATAGTAGATAAACCAAGCCTAACTGATTTACTCGTTAATGATTGTCAGTGTGACGACCTATGTGTTTATTCTTAAAGGAACCATTTCAATGAGACAGTAACATCTCATAAAATCTATTGTATATTGAAATGAATATTTGACTGTACCTGATTGATGCAAATCATTGAAAGGAAAACTTGATAAATAATACATTAGAAATAATGAATTTTTTGTGTGTTGTCTATTATCTAAATCACAGGATTGTCATAAAACAGGTGACTGGAAGAAAATGCTATTAATTACAGCATGACAGAAAATCTAACCTTGATTGATTCAAAAACTAAAAACGTTGCATAACATAGTCAGTCAGATAATAATATACTATAAGTAAACAAAGAAATATGTGAGATAAATATCAGCTAACTGTGTATTGAATAGATATTTTTAGATTCTCTCTTAAAATTTATGCAATCTAAACGATATTTATCATAATTTGTAAAAAGATAAATTGCTTTTATATTAAGAATATCAACTAGTTTTGTACAAAATCTTTTGCAGTAAGTGTGGATAGAACTGATGATTAAGTAAAATACAAGAGATTATTTCAAGGAAAAATTCAATATTATGACCAGATAAATGAAGCGATACAACTTTACTTGATGAACAATGGAAATAAAACTTGATCATTTTGAACTAAATAATTTTCAAACAACAACACTAACACATTAAAAACAAATGATATCTGCCAATGAACAGGAAATTTTTCTGTATATTGTATTCGAATTGATAGTGCCTAATTAATTGCATTTAATTACTTACATATTACACATGTTAAGCCTAATCAAGCATAGGCCGCCAATCAGCATTCTCCAACCAACTCTAGCCTGCGCTCATCTTTCCAGTTGTTCCCAATCGCTATTCATCATTTTCATATGCGCCTTCAATTTCCAGTGTACTATGTTTGTCGGTCTTGCACTTTTCCCTTGACCCTGAGGATTCCAAGTTAGGGCTTGCCTTGTGACGCAGTTGGGTGCTCTCCTCAATCTGTGTCCTATCCACCTCTAGTTCTTATTCCTGATTTCTTCTTCAGCTAGAATCTGCTTTATTCTCTTCCACAGTAGGTTGTTGCTAGTGGTGTCTGTCCAACGGATCAGGCGTATCTTGCGTAGACAACCTTCAACAAATACCTGTATCTTGTGGATGATGGCTTGCGTTGTTCTCGAAATTTCCACTCTATACAATAGAACTGTCTTGACGTTCGTATTGAAAATTCTGACATTGGTGTTGGTTGGTAGTTGTTTTGGGTTGTAGATGTTCTCCAATTGTAGACATGCTACTCTTGCTTTGCTAATCCATGTCTTCACATTGCCCACCAAGGATGCTACTCAGATATGTAGGGGTTTCCATATCTTTCAAAGCTTTGCAATCAAGTATGATGTGGTTGTTATTCTCTGTGTTGTACTTAGTGATCTTACTTTTTCCCTTATGTTTGTTGGGGCCTACTGCTACACTAGTTGTCTTCATGTGTACTTATTGCAGCATGTGAGATAGAAGAGCGATGTCATCTGCAAAGTTCAAATCGTTCAAATGTATCTGAGCTGTCCCTTGTGTCCCCCGAAATGTGGAGGTCATCATAATCCAGGTGACACCAGCAGAAAGAGAAAATTTGCGAGTTAACAACCCGGTCTGACACCCGTCTTCACTTGGAGTCAGTCTGTGAGCTGTCCTCCGTGTACGATTTCGTAGTTTTGTCTATAATATAAATTCCGTATAGTGTTGACTTCTTAGGTACATCGTAGTATCGAAGGATCCTCCTTCTTTTAAAGGCTTTCTCACGATCAAGAAAGCTGATTTATAGAGATGAGTTTCATCTAACTGATTGTTCAACAATGGTTCGTAATTTCGCGATTTGGTAAGTATATGATTGATACTTACGGTATCCAGCCTGCTGATCTCGAAGTTGGGCAACTACCGAATCTTTCATTCGGTTGTTGTTAGGTCTTCTACATGTTTCCGTTTATCAGTTCTAATACTCTTTTTCACTCGGTTGTTTGCTTCTGTATATTCAGCTTGAACCTTCGCTTTCTCTCAGTCAGTCAGTTACAACGTAGAACTTCGTACGTGAGTACAGCAGTTCAAGTTGCCATGCCGCATTAGCCCAGAGACGCAACTGTCAATTCAAATGCAATAGTGGTAGCGATAGAAGAAGCATTAGCAGTAATTGAGAAGATTAGGGGTCGAGGATATGATTTGAAAAGTAGATAACTTTAGTAAGAAAAAGATGGAGACGATGAGTAATTCAGGAGGTTAGAATTTGAGATAACACAATGAATAAATGCACCTGCGGCATTACAAACGATTCCGAGCCATGTGGTTCAAGGTCTCTAACCACTGGTGACATTCGTCTCACGGACCCCAACCAGCTAGCCTACATCTACCAACATGACTCAAGCCGGTTATTAGTGATTTCATGGATTTCTGCGATGTTTTGGTTTGGCCACTCCTAGATTTCTTCAGACCTACTCCCACGCCACAAAACATAGCTAGCTCGTTGAGGCAGTCTGTGGTTGGGCATACGTAACACTTGACACAACCACCTCAACTGATGAAGTTTCAATACTCCATTAATCGATCTGTCATCCTTACCTAATACTCGTTTCTTAACAACAAAATTGCTTACTTGGTTGTCCCAGGAAATACGAGCAATACTTCAAAGACATCTATAATCGAATATTGATAACCTACGAATGTCCTCTACTCTAACTGACCGTGTTTCGCATCCATATAGGAGGACGGAGCGAACTGCTGCGCAGTACACTCGACCTTTGGTTAGCAAACGGATGTCTCGCCTGCGCCATATGTGACACAAGTTGGCAAAGGCCAATCGAACATTCTGCTTAGATTTCGTCAGTCACTAGGCCATCAGCACTGATGAGACTCACCAGATAAGTGAAGCGGTCGATAAGCTCAACTGCTTTACTTCCTATCACTAGTTGAGGCACCGATGCAACCTAATCTTGAAGGAACATTTTACATTTCTAAGGGGTGAACCACATCCTGAATATGCTTAGATTGTTGCTTATGGTAGTCAGAAGAGTCTGCGTTTCGTCAGCGTCTTCACCGAATCGAACTATATCATCAGTATTTTCTAAGTCAGCAAGCGTTTTTTCTGGTTGGAGGTCTACTCCTGAAGATTCAGGTAATGATAATTTTATATCTAGAAGCATATCTACGACAAAGTTAAACAAGAATGGGGAGAGTAGACAGCTTTGACGGACACCACTTGAAGTAATCAATTCCAATGACAGTTCGCGATTGGCTCTCACTCGACCAGTGGTGTTCAAGTAGAGAACCTGTGTAAGGTTATTGTACTTCTCTGGTACAACTTTTAACGACAGAAACTGCCACAGAACCTCACGATCCACAGAGTCAAATGCCGATTTAAGGTCCAGGAAGACAACTATTGTCGGACGACTAAATGTGCGTCTTTGTTCTTGGACCTGTTATAGCGTGAATATTTGGTCTGTATATCCACGTCCAGATGGAAAACCAGCCTGGTTTTCTCTAGTCTGCTCTTCACAAGGTTTCTTTAGGCGTCGAAGTATTACTGAGGTCAATATTTTCGATACTATATTAATTAGACTTATTCCTCTGTGATTTTCACAAGAGGACTTTCGTCCTTTCTTATAAATTTAGACAAGTCAGATGGGATTACACTT